ATCTGAGTAATTATTTCTGATTTCATTTTTCCCAGATCCTCTTTTGTTGCCAGTTCAGAGAGTCCAGGTGGTTGAGTATCGGATCGTTCCATCTTGTTTCCCTTTGGGGTTGCTGTAGGTGATCTGGAAGTCTGTTTTTGAGGCTTGTTTACGTGTTTTCTCATTTTGACGGGGGGCGGGGGGTGCTTTTAGCGCCTGCGCAGCTCACCTTCTCTGCCCTAGGTGCTTGGGATGGTGGTGGGGGAGCTTCCTTCCGGGTGCTGGGACCCGCTCAGCTTCTCTGCCCTAGGAGCTTGGGATGTCGGTGGCAGAGCTCAGCTTTAACATCTTGACATTGAAGATTTTGAACCTCTTAAGTGATGTTTAAGAGTATACGTTAGTCGGAAGATGGACTTATGAATTAGTATTGAATGGGAGAAACATGATAGAAAATTCTACACAGTTTCCTTAAAACTGTGCAAAGAAGAGGCTGCCTAGCAGGTAAGCGAGACGTTCAGGAGACAGTGTCCTGCCAGTTGTGTTTTGGGTATGTGGTGGTAGCTGTTTTTTTCTCTCTTCATTTTCCAACACTGTCTAGGGTTTGAAACAAGATTCTTATCTCTTTAATGAAACGCAACATTTTTTTTTTTTTGAGACAGTCTCACTGTATAGTCCAGGTTGGCCTCAAACTCATGATCCTCCTGCCTCAGCCTCCCAAGTGCTGGGAATGCAGGTGTGCCCCACCATGCCCAGCTCCCATGATTGTATTTAAGTCAGTGTTGGTGCCATATTTGGAGGCCATCTCTACCTCAGAAATCATTTTAATCCATTTTGAGGTGATGGCCCTTGGTGGCTACTTTCAGTTGTGTTTGGAACCATATTGTGTGGAGGCCTGGCTTTACCTTGCAGCAACATATGCATATGTTGCTGGGAAGCGGCGAGCATTCTTTTTGAAACAAGCAGAAAAATCCCACCTGCTCAGAGCTTGTGGGGTGGCTAGGGAAAGAACTGACTTGTTTTGCTGCCTTCTTAGAGAGGGGCACCCGACTACCTCTGCATCTGTCCCTTGGTCACCAGCTGGGGGATCAGAGCCTCAGGAGGGCAGTTCTAACAGATGCCAAGGCACAGCCATGTTCACTTAAGCCTTGGCCAACTTGGGATATGCCGGCTGGAGAGTGGCTTCTCCATACCCTGCTGAGAGGCTCATTTTGTTACCTGTGGTATTAAATGGTAAGTTTTGCAAAATTCTGTGAGGATTATTCCCTGCTCAGTGGCAAACATCTGTCCTGACCAAAATCTAGAGAGGACCGAAAGGAGACCACATCCTCTCCCAGCTAGCAATAGTTGTTACATTTTTAAAGGGTTGTAAAAAAATACCTGCAAAGAAAAGTATGTGGCAAAGCCTAAAGTATTTACTAGCAGGCTCTGCAATGTTTGTGGTTCTCTGCTCTAAAATAAACAAAAACTAAGCCAAGCTAATGGTATAGCCCTATAATCCCAGCACTCTGGGAGGCTGAGGCAGGAGGATCACAAATTCGAGCCCAGCCTGGACAACTTAGTGACTTAGCAAGACGCTGTCTCAAGTAAAAATAATAAAATGTAAACTGAGGATTTAGCTCTGTGTAAAGGCCCTGGGTTCAACCCTCAGTATCATCCCTAGCCCCTATAAAGAGCTTGTGAAAGAAAGAAAAACTATGTGTAGTTGGATTTGGAAGACACAGAGCCTTCATTCAAGTCTGTATGGCTGATGACCTTGGATGAATCACATAATCCCTGAGTTTTCTTTTTCTAGCTCCCATCCCCACCTCTTTCCTTCCTTTACAGGGTAGGTATGGCTATGGTTTGTCTAGGTCTTCTTTATGTTCTACTGGGTTATAAAGTGATTTTTCAGCCTTTAAAGAACTACAGAAATAGATCTTGATATTTATTAGTGTTTCCTGATTGCCCAGTGGCATATGCTGCTATGGATGAATACTCTGTCAAGCAAACTCAGCAGAACCAGCCTGGTGTTACAAAGATTGTGTGTATTAATTTTATACTTTGTAGATTCAGTGATGGTGTAACAGGTCATTTGAGCCTGGTTAATACTTGATCTGACCTTTCTTGGAAGGGACTCAGACACCACCTGATCTGATTGTCTCCTTTTAACTCATGAAGGTCTGAGATTCAGTGAGGCAAAGCAAAAGTGGCTCAAAGTTGTTTGACTCCATCATTTCAGGACCAGGAGCACCCTGGCTTCCTCCTGCTTCTGCACTCTGTATATGCTGCTCCCTCCATTGCCAGCCTTCTTGTCCATCCTCTTCACTCAGGTCCTTTTTTGCTTCTGTCTTCTCACCCCTGAAAGTGCTCCCCCACTTTGTATCAGGGATCAAACTCAGGACCTCTCGCTTGCCAGGCAGGCGCTGTGATTCCAAGCTGCTGCTTTGCATCTACTTGCAGGGTGATTGGTTGATATTTGTGCTCCCCATCAGACTTAGCTCCATGAGGGCAGGATGAGCACTTTGCCCCCCACAGTGAACACAGTGCCTGGATTCAGTGGATGCTCAGTAAGCACTGGTTGAAATAATTAGTGTCAGGAGTCTTATCCAAACTTTGTTGTCCTGACTCCCAGCCCACGCCTCCTCTGTCTTTATACCATGATGGTCTGGGTAGTTCCAAGGATGCACTGTGGAGGCCCAGGAGATGCTTTCGGTGAGTCATGTGCTCTCTGGTCTGTATGTGGTCATGCAGCTGTATTCTTTCACCTTAGGCCACTGGATGGGGATTCCTGCCTCTCCCAGGTGCACGGCTGGGCTCCGCTGAAGGTGCTACATGGAGACAACGATGTCCTCTTCCCTGTCAGTGGAGTGGGGTCCTGTGGTTCCGCAGGTGAGTGCTTCCTGATTTTTCTTCTCCTTCCATCAGCACTTTGGCTCTAAGAACCAGCAGGAGGAGTATCTGAGTTATTTGCACAGGTGGGAATGGGAGCCAGGAGACTGGAGCTCAGGCATGGAAGCACTTGTGCGGACCCAGAGCTGAGGAGGGTCATGCATCTCTCACTGAATAGGTGCATTTGGAGGTGCTCTCAGCTGAGTGAGTTAGGCTGTAGTAGCTGGCAAGTCTCCAGGGAGCTCTCAGGTTGGGTGTTTTTCTCCCTTATCAGTGGCTTGTTGAGCTACATCTTGTCAAAGCTGACCACAAATAGTGTATTATTTGCCCCTTAGGAGATAGAAAAAGCAACTGAAGTCCCGTCCATGAAGGCCCTGCCACCTTGTATTGAAAAGTGCTTGGGGCCCAGGAAGTAGCTCAGGGCTCAAGCATCTGCCTTTGCTATGGGTCGATGTTTCTGCGCCATTCCACATGGTTGGGCACACGTGTGTGTAGTTTCTTCCTGTTCCTTTAGCTAGAAAATGTCACGGGGAGGTGTGTATCAGCCTGGCTTACACCGTGGGGTGGGTGTGCTGTGCTTCTGGCACAGTGCCTGACACAGAAGGGTTTGGTCACTGTCTATATCCTGAGCACCATCAGGTCTCAGCCCACCTAATTCAGGTGCCTTCTCATTTTCCTGGGAAACAAATGCCTCTTCTCTGAGCCTCATTTAGGAAATTGTGTTTGGGACCCACCAGCTCCTTGAGAAGCTGTGGAACTTTGTATTGGTAACAGACTGTTGTTACTTGGTTGAGAGCAGAAACCCTCTCATACTGGCTACATGGGAAGGACCAGCCCTGTGTCAGACACACTCCCAGCTCTGGAAAGTTGAGTGAGCTCAAGCTGGTGACGCTCTTGGTGCCTGTAGTTCTGGGTGGGAAACAAGGCTGAGGAGAGCATGTGTTTGAGGACTCGTGTCTGTCAGTCTCAGGGTCCCCTGGAAAGCAGATGATGTGAGAGTGATGCAGTGCTCACCAGGCCTGGAAATGTGTCCAGGGCTGTGAAGCGACTGACTCCAGTTAGCTTGCCAACTCTCCCAACAAGAGGCTGTTACTGCTGCACTGCCTCCCTTCTGATTTGGAGTGAAGACTCCCTGAGTTACTCTGTCAAAGTGCCAGGCTCGTGTGAGGCTGTCCTCAGGTGGCAGTGCTGTGAGAGACATGTGGGTGTCCATAGCGCAGGGCTAGGCAGTGGGACAGAGAGGACTCTGGATGAGGAGATGTGCTGCTGCCTTCTCATTGCTGTTTCCCCATGGCTCCTAGGGACTGTGCCATTGCCTCTAGTCTGCCTTGTGCCCCTCTTCACCTGTACTTGGCTGAGGGACTAGCACTGTCGTCTCAGCCACATGACCATACATACCAACTGGAACATCTCTCTGGGTCCCAATTAAGTCCCAGAGAGGAACAGTCTGGTGGCTTTGCTCCTGGTTGCAGGCCAGACTGTAGTGGCCCTGAATCTCCAGACCGTCCTTGGTCCAGAAAGCCAGGGGTGGGCATAGTCCTTGGCATTTCAGGTCACAGCAGTATCAGTGTGGACTGAGTGTCCGGGAGAGGACATGGGCTAGGAAGAGTGAGGGGCCCAGAGTGTCTGGCACCCTTGGCGAATCATGAATGTTTGTCCACTACCTCCAACTCGAGTTTCTGTTCCTGCTTACTTGTCTGTTCCCCACTGAGCAGCCTTGTTATCTGGCATAGGAATGATTGCTGAGCTGTAAGATGCATGCAGTAGGCAGTCTGTTTTGTTTCAAATGGCTCCTTCATATCTTAGAGGGACCCCTCTGAACTATCAGACATTTAGGGATGAAGGCTGGTAGGTCTTGGGGCTTTACTTTTGCCATTCACACTGGGCCAGCATTCTGGGGCCTTTGTAGACAAGCATCTCCAGGCCAAGTATCTCTTGATTGGCCTCTGGGATCCTCCCAACAAGGCACCCTGCCCCTTCCAGCAGATCTCCTGTTGTCCTGCCTCTGGCTGCAGCCTTGAAAACCCACAGGCTCCATCTTGTCACTGTTGATAGAACCTCAGTTCCAGTTTTTCTTGACTGTGCACACCAGAAATGATGTGTATGAGCCAATCTGCCACCTTTTACATTTACTGCAGTCATAAAGCTGCCAGGAGTTTTGCAAGCTTGTGACAGTCTAAGGAGCAATCCTGCTGTGGATAGGAGATTGCACAGGAAGACATGATACTCGAGGGCTTCATGAAGATACTAGAATCAGATCTAGGGAAGTGGTTTACTGATTGGATGCCAAGTCCTGTCAAGTCCCTCCTAGCCCCATGCCCCACTTTTACAGGAGCATGTGGGCCAGGTGGGATCAGCACGGCTCTTCCCTGGTGGGTTCTGCCAACATTTTTTTCTGAGACTCCTTTACTTTTGCCCAGTTTCTGGCTGGTGTCCCTTCTGATTGACACTACCCTAATTTAGAGAAGTTACTGCATTCTCCTTCTTTCTTGCTGCAGAGCCATTTTGTTCTTTAATGTGACTTCTCACAGGAGAGAAGGAGACTCCTCACCTTAGGAGATTTTTCAGTTATCTTTGAAAATGTCTTTACTTTTACAGTCACTGCCACTGGGGGTGGAGAAAAAGGAAGGGTAAAGGATGAAAAGGAAGAGAGGTCTGTGTCAGGGAGGATGGGTGTTTTTTGGAACTAAATCTTAGGAAGGAGGAATAAGCCTGAAGGAAACCCTGAAAAGAATTGTCATCGTTCTGAATCTTGGGTGAGATAGCTGTGTGGTTTAGGGGAGCTGCATGTTCTGGGTTAGGGAATGAGTCAGAGCAAGGAGATTCCAGCCCACGGTCACTCCAGGAGACTCTGGACAGGCTGATGGAGGGTGAGACACAAGAGCAGCTCCTCTGGACATGTATGTGAGCTACAACAGGGCAAAGTGAGTTTTACCGGTGTCTATTTGAAGTGGTGAGGGAGGGAGAGCTCCCAACATTTCTTTCCAGTGAGAATAATAAATAGAGGTGACAAACACCCCTTATTACTCATGAGACCTAGGAAGGTATTGTTTATCTTTTTACTGAGGGTTCTGTAGTTAGTGTTGGATTTTAGCAGATACACAGCCAATTTCTGAGGGCTGCCTTTGATTCATTTGCAAGCTCAGGTCCTCTAACCCTTTATTTTCCCAATTGTTCTGAAGTTATCAGCTTCTTATTGTCCTCCCTTTGTTTTTGGAGTAGTTCATTGAAGCTGAGGAGGAATTTTGTGGTGCCACCATGACCTGATATAGTTGATTTTAGAGCTAGCTTTACCTTTGTGAATGCCAAGGTAATGCTGGCAGAGCACTGCATTGTGTGTGGTTCCTGGATCACTTTTAGGGGACCTGTGCCACTTGGGGTTCATGATTTTCATTGTTCTGCCATGCAGCTTCCCAGCTCTGTGCAAGCCAGGGTGCTAAGCTCGGGAGAGTACAAAGGTGAATGCTTCTTGTAGTTCTGTGTGCGCGCCAGGAAGTAACAGGGGACATCATTTTAATAATCAGTGTAAAGGAATGAATGGTCCAAGCATCCTCTGAATGCTTTCCTCACTTTATTCTGTGTAATTCACCATTATCTCTTGTCTGGGCTATTGGAAAACAATGGTGTCAGCAAGAATCAACAAATGGGATTATATCAGACTAAAAAGCTTCGGTACAGCAAAAGAATCAGTAGAGTGAAGAGACAGATTACAGAATGGGAAAAAATTTTGCCAGTTACTCCTCAGACACAGGACTTATATCTAGAATATATAAAGAACTCAAAACAGTTAGCTCATGTAAAATTAAAGACCCAATCAAGAAATGGGCAAGCGAAAGCAACAGATACTTCCCAGAGGAAGAAGTACAAATGGCCAACAAATGTATGAAAAAATGTTCAATCTCTCTTGCTGTTAGAGGAGATGCAAATTAAAACAGCGCTAAGATCCCATCTTACTCCAGAAAGACTGGCAATCATCAAGAAAGCCAAAAATAACAAATGTTGGCATGGATGTAGTGAAAAAAGAACTCTCCTCCTTTGTTGGTAGGAATGTAAATGAGTACCGCCATTATGGAGATCAGTATGGAGATTTCGTAAAGAGCTGAAATTAGAAATTCCATATGACCCAACTCTCCCCCTACTGTCCTTCTCCAAAGAGCTTAAGACATCATACTATAGCGATACACGCATACCAGTGTTTATAGCAGCACAATTTATAATAGTTAACTCCTAAAAGCAGCTTGTATACCCATCAACAGATGATTGGATAAGGACATTGTGGTATTTATATATAATAGACTACTACTCTGCTATAAAGAAGGACAAATTTGAGACATTTGTAGGAGAATGGATACACCTGGAAAATATAATGTTGAGTGAAGTAAATCAGACACGGGAGCTTGAATACTATGTGATGTCTCTCATTTGAGTAAGGCAAAGTATAAACTAAGAGAAAAATAAAGCATAGGAGACAAGGGGAGGGATCGCTTGCAGATGGGAAGGGTTCCGGGGACCAAAGGCCAAGGAGGAGAAAATGGGAGAAATAGGCAGAGTGAAGATATGCTAGGTACAGGATTCTAATAATCTCATGCGGACATTTCATGGCATAATATGAACTAAGAATAATAGCAACAAGAATGAAAGGGGGAAAAGGGAATTAGAGGAGGAGAGAGGAAGGAGGAGGGAAGAGGATTAACAAAAAAAGAAACAAGCTATATTATGTACATGTACCAACTCTCCAAGATGATTGTAAAATGCATGTACTGCAGATGGGTACTAATAAAGAAAACACATGGAAATAAAAGAAAGGTTTATGAAAAAACAAAACAAAACAGTGCTATCAGCTTCGACCCTTGTCCCTTACCCTTGTCCATTGTTTCTTTAGGAGCCAGAGTGAGTTTTGTCTTTGTTTTTTTTTGGTACCGGGGATCACCGGGGATCAAACTCGGGTCCTTGGGCTTGCTCAGCAGGTGGCGAAACCACTAAGCTAAATCCCCAGCCCGCCAGAGTGAGTTTTTAGGACACACACCAAATTGCATCATTCCCCTGCTCCCAAACCTGCTAGTGCGCTTAGGATAAAAGTGGAATTTTCTCCGTGGCCGCGCAGGCCCCAGCTAATGCTGGCTGTTTCATTTCCTGCCATTTCCCGTTGTCTGGTGTTCCCAGCCATACCATCTTTCCTCCACTTCCTCAGATGGAGTCCTACCCTTTCTCCGCACCCGCCTCTCCTGCTTTCTGCTCTCCTAGCTGCATCCTGCAGGTAGCAGCCCAAGTGTCGCTTCTTGGAGAGGGCTCCTCTGACCCCTCCTTGGACAGGTCAGGACGTGTGCACCATACTGCAAACTTTCTGTGTGTCTCTGACCTCAGTTTGTCACAGTGCATTTGTGTCATTACTTGACAATGCCTGCTCCCACTGCTAGTCTGTGAGGTCCATGAGGGCAAGGCCATGTCCACCTTTAAATGTGTCCCTGACCAGCTTGGGACTCAGTACACCTTTGTTGACTGGGTGACTAGATGGCTGTAGTGTGTGGAGAGATACACGTGCTGTAGGGTGGATGAGTGGCATTGGAAGAATGATGTGCAGATAGAAGAGAGGGCATGGAAAAAAGGATAGAGGCAAAGTGCAGGATGTGTAGAGGAATAGACGAGAGGCTCAGGGCAGCTAGACGAGAGCCTGCATGCTGCAGTGGGAAGGGCTCAGCTTGGCCATTGGGCAGACCAGGGTTTAGGTCCTTGCACTTTTTAGCTCTGTGACCTTCCCAAGTCACTTAAATCCTCGAGGTCCATTTCCTCACCTGTAAAATTAACCTAATAATAGTCCTTGTCTGTGAGGGCCCTTGAAGATGAGTGAGATGGTCTGACCTTTGTGTGGGACAATGTGCTAGGCCTGCTGCAGATGCCAGCCAGCCAGGGTCTTGCTAATGAAGGGCTCAGGGACTGTCAGCTGGGCGAGTCAGCGTCAGGTGTGGCATGCCATCTGGAATGCCAACTGCAAGATTGGTCCAGCCATGGGTTTCCACTGTGTGTGTTGAACTGCAGACTTTACTTCAGGGTGTGGAATCTGACAGCTGTTCCTGAGTTAGTTAGCAAAGATGACACAGAACTAAGGTAACCTGCCATAGAAGGGCCCTTAGGTGGTATCGAACCCTTGACAATAGTGCAGTAGAAATGAGCTGTAAGTAACCTGGGGGATACTTTAGGTGGCACTTACATATTGTGTTAGCTTGTTGCCCCTGTAAACAAAGAATCTGAGGTAATCATTGGAAGGAAAAAAGGTTTATTTTGGCTCAGTTTCAGAGATTTCCATCGAGGTCACTCAACTCCATTGCCTTTGGGGCTGTCACGAGGCAATACCTCATGGTAGGAGTAGGTGGTAGAGGAAGCTGCTTACCTTGCAGTGGCCGGGAGGGAGGGAGAGGGGGAGGGGAAGGGGGAGGGGGAGGGCTGATGCTAGCCCCCACTCACTGAGCATCCTCATGTTAAAATGTGAGTCAGTGATGTAGCAGGCATTCAAATGTGTGGCAGACACTGCTGTTAGCCCATTTCATAGGTGAGGAAACTGAGGTATGACTAGGCTAGGTAGCTTGCTGAATTAAAGTTGGGGAGCAGGGATGCGAGCCTCAGCAGTTGAGCAGAGCCTGTGTCCTGAAATTAATCTCAGTACTAGGTGGCAAGGAGGAGGAGGCTGAAAAGTAGACACTTTATTTCCCCTTTGATTTATTTTTTTTTTGGTACCGGGGATCGAACTTGGGTCCTTGCACTTTTGAGGCAGGCAGCGGAACCACTGAGCTAAATCTCCAGCCCCTCCCCTTTGATTTCTTGAAAGTTAGGAGGGAGTAGAAGCTTGGTGGAACTATTGAAGTAGAAGAAAAGGTTACAGACTACCTTTTCCCCTCTGGTTTCCCTCAAGCCCAGTCCCTTTGTCACTGGGACTCTGGCACAACTCCAGGCAGAACCCAGAGGTGAGGTGGTGAGGAGGCTGTGCTCCCGTCCTCTGTGTCTCCTACCCCTGGGCCTGGTTCTCCAGTGGGCACTAGCACTGAGTTTCTTGAATGAGCAAGGGTTCCTATGCCCAGCCCAAGGCTCTGAGACTGTAATTTTTCCCAGAAGGAGACTCGAGCAGCTGCTAATGTGTTTATGAGAATTGTTAACGTCTTTTGCCTGTTGGTTGTGGAGATTATTTACGACCTTCCTTCTTGGGAATGCCCTTTCCAAATGTCAGTCATGCAGGGTAAGTGGCTTTTGTAGGAAGCTGCAGGCATGATCTGTGATTAGACCATGCTGCTCTCTAGTGTCGCTGACAGGCAAGAGCAGTTTGTTTAACAGCTGTTTTATTATTCCCTGATTCTGAGGTTGGCTCTGAATGTGGACTTCATGCACAATTCCATGTGCCTCAAGGTAAAAAAAGTGACAGGATAAGTGGGACCTTCTATCAGCAACTGATGCCAAGTCATGATAGCACTGTATCTGGAAAAATGCAACGGGTAAATTAAAATCTAGTGCACAGGTGGGAAAATCTTCTAAGTTGCTGGTACAGCAGAACAGGTGACAAGGAGAAAACAGAATTAAAATAACCTGACTGTCTCTCTGTGCTTGCTCTCTGCACAGGTGTGGCCCTGGGGAGCCTGGAGAACGGGATGGGACCGAACGACCACGTTCTGGCAGGGCCTGGCCTTCGGTACAGGTTAATATTCACAAGCCAAGTTGCCTTTGGGATTGAAATGTGCTACTAACAACTTGGATTATGTTCTTTTCAGGATAGGGTTATAAGGCAAAGCTTTACTTCAGATTTATATTCAGATTTAGTCTTGGACCTCAGTGTCCATTTGCCAAGGGTCTTTATTATCTTTCCTCTCAGAGTCAGGTATAAGAGACAGTATGGGCCAAATCTCGTTTGCATACTTCTTTTTCTGTGACACTTTTTGGTCTATATCTGAGTATTTCTTCTGTCACTACTTTCTTAAATATTTGTTAGTATTTAACAATGCTAATGCTATATATAATATTTAAGTCAGTTAGATATTATATAATTGTGCTTAGTATGCTGTCTGGCATATAGCAAGCATAAAAAGGTTTTCTTTTTTTTCTTCAAATAAAAGAATCTCAACAGTAGACCGAGTTGCCTCAAGTCATTGGATGTTTGGTGGCAGAGCAGAGATGGACAGCGAGGTATCCCTGATGCCACCACCATCCTTGTTGATTTTACTGGGGTTTTTTTTTCCCTTTCCTCTCCATGATTTTCATTTGATGCCCAGGTATATAATCCATCTATGTTTTCAACTTAACTCCAACCGGGGACTCCTGCCTGCCCCAAGCCCCGCATAGTGTCCTGGTCTCGCTCAGAATAGACAGGGTTCTGAAATGCCTCCACCCAGAGGCAGCTGGTACGGTCTGGTGTCAGAAAGGATGGTGCCATCGGACCCTTCCAGGGCGCTGAGTCCTTTTCTGCTATTTATTTTAGCAAATTTGCAAAATATAACAATGGATGAAAAATATTACTCTTAACCCCGACTCCATGACTTTGAAGATGTTTTAGTGCTTTTCCCTCTATTCTATGTGTGTGCGTGCGCCACAGGATGGACTTGATATCTTCATAAAAGATGTTATTGTTGTATTTTTCCATGTAGCAATTTTATTGTAAGTATATAGTTCTCATTTGTATTACTTACGTCCTATAAAGTTGCTGTGAATACTGCATCTTGTTCAAGGGAAAATGTGAAGTTCTGTGAGCCTGTGGGCCTGATGTTTTTACCAGTTGATCAGTGGACAGTCTGGTCTTATGGATAATCTGGTCTTGTGTCTGTTCCTGTTTAAAGACACTGCATATAATATCTGTTGTTGATTCATTAGCATTGAATTCGTGGCCACTAGGCTATCACTCATACCTGAATGAAGCTTATCTAACACATATTTCTCCCTAAGGCACATCACATCCTTCTTGCTTTAGGAACATGGCCTTGTTGTGTGACAAAACGACCAATTAAAAAAAACCACAAGAATGTGAAAAATGTGACACTACATAGAACCATGAGAAAGAACTTGATTACAGTTATAAGATCAGAAACAAGAAGGTGGATTGTCACCTTGTTTGACCTTAGCTAGGACATAAAAATTGGTGACTTACATTTTTGGCTTATAAGTGACTTGTGAAAGTGCCCTGTGAGTATTGATTTGCGGTTACAAATACAAAGTATGGTTGAAGAATATGGTGACTATTTCAATTAAAAAATCATTACAATGAAAGACACATTGCCATTAATCCTCAAAATACCCTCAATACCCCCCCTCACTTTGAACACATTTATCCCATCATTCTTGGCAATGTTTTTTACTATAATAAGTTAAAAAAAATTTTTTTTTTTTGGTATGGGGGATCCAACTCGGGACCTTGCGCTTGTGAGGCAGGTGGCAGCACCACTGAGCTAAATCCCTGGCCCATTAAACATTTTTTTAAAACACTCACCATATTTTTTGATCACCCTCTCTAAATTTCAGAGTAGACAAATTTGCAAATGTGGAATCTGCTCGAAATGAGGACTAATTTCAGATGGCTGCTTTCTGTCCCTGCTAGTAGATAACTGAATAAACATACCTCCTGCTAGTGTTTTGAATGGCAAAGCTTTACATTTTAAGTGACTGAGTGTAAATTCCCTCTGCCTGCTTTTTCCCAGTGTGGAAGCCAGTTCTCCAGGCCAAGGAAGTCCTCTAACCAATCTGTTACCTTCTGCCTCCGTGCCAGAGTCCATGACAATCAGTAAGTACTTTCTGACCCATCTCCACCAACAGTGGCATGATTGTGGGCCCGTGTGTCACAGCAGCGCCTTTGTGTGTGTTCCTCCATGACTGGGCCTGAGCAAGCAGGTGTGTACCTGGCTGTGGACCTGAAGCATGAAGCATGTAAGCTTTTGGAACCGTGGTTAACCCATGGGCCCCGGGCGTGTGCACCCTCTCCAGGCCAGCGTGGGGTAGAGCTGGAAGGGAAGTTTCTTCTGCGGCTCACAGAAGCACCCTGTGCTTCCGGGGTTGTTTCCTCTGCAAGGCAGTGAGGCACAGAGACACCACTGTGGTTGGGTTGCCTTCGTAATGTCGGAGGGGTCATTTTTGCAAGTAAGGAAGAGGTGTCTCTCCAAGGCGATGAAACATTATTTATGATCAGGTTTGCAACTTTACCACCCAGAAAAAATATCAGAAACAGCAGTTAAGAGAAGGTTTGAATAACTTTAAATAACAAAGAATGAGCCAGCTGTATCTTAACAAGGTAGAAACTCATCTTTTCCAGAGGTATGTGGGCTGGGGCTGGTACATGGCTCCATGGTCACCAGGGCTCCTCGTGCCTTACCTCATGGATGAGAATAGCTGTTTTAGCTCCAGCCGTTCTGTTCTCATCCCAGGTAGCAGGAGGGAAGAAGGACAAAGGAGAGAATTTCTCTGTTTACATATAGGATTCAGGGGTCTGAATATGGCCACAGTAAAAATGATAAGTTCTTCATCAGTCTGCGACTGAAGTTTAGTATTTGCTTCATTTATGAAAGTAGCCACAAGCCATAGAAAGCACAGTCGTGATGGTGAAGTGGATGACTGTCACCAAAAGTCACAGGCATCGAATGTCATTTCTGCTTGGAAACATGGTGCTTACTTCATGTGATAAGGTAGAGTCCTGTATTTTACTATGTTATTTTTCTTAACATGTGGATCATTCTGTTTCAATATAATTGGATTCCATTGTAGACTTATATATTTTACATATTTTGAAATTTTTTTTCCTGAAACAAGCCCCATGGGCATCCTCACTACAGAACGGGCCCTTGGTAAACAAAAGCCAAAGCCCCAGCTCTAAGGATCCCATGCAGAAGTTGCTCACGGTATCCATTTGTATCTTTGGCCAACATTAGCCCCATAGCCTCCCCTGGCTGCAAAAGAGGAAATGTATTTCCTCCTCCCCATATGTCTTCATTGCTAAGGAAAGAAGATTGGGGTTTGGGGGCACCAGCATTTGCAATTCAAGGGTGAGCCTTGGGGAATGAGTGGACACTGTGAGGCTGTTGGGTGAGAATGACCAGCTCACTTCGTGCTCTGAGCAAGGTGGTTTACTAAGGTGCTTCTCAGCCTGGAGTTCAGTTGAGCAGGTAGTTCTGGATCACCCAGTGTATGGGGAAGATGGAATGGGCCAATATATAGGTTGCTGAAATTTTTCAAATGTCAATCATTTGTTTACCATTTCACTGTTATTTACCCTACATTGTTTTTTTTAATGAAACACTTGAAACAAATTCGAGTTTCTTTTTCTTTAAAAGGGAAGCCTTATTGTCATGACTATAAGCAGAGAACCACTATTAGTTGACTTAAATAGCAGGTCACTGTAAAAATCAAGGCACTGAAAGGAGTGTTACTAAATTGACCTGGTTGCTGTCTCAGGTTCTGACTGAGACCCTTGTTGCTATTCAAAAGAGATGGGGGACAGCTTCTGTGTTTTGCTCAGGCCTGTGGCACCTGCAGGGAGGGCCAGTATCTTCACCTTCACCTTCATACTGCCAGGCAGCCCTATAGCCTCCAAAGAGCCAGAAATGGTGTGATAAGCAGAACAGGAGAGACATCTGGGCACAGCCCTGAGCACCAGCCCTTTTGGAGGTGTTTCTCATGCAAAGGGAATAGTGCTAGAAGAAGTCAGGGTTGAGGCAAACGGTCAGGTTCTGCCATTAGCAAATATGTAGGGTCCTGCTGATCAAGAGCGCCAAGAAAATCGCTGCCTTTGTGTGCAGTGATGGTTTTACTGAGGAAAACAGTGAAGTTGGAGTTTTTGGATTTCATTGCAAAGGTCATGCTGCTGGTGACATTCTTGGAGTCTGCTTTAAGGTAGCAAAGTAACCAGTGTGTTTCTTTTGGCCCTGTACAAAGGCAGGAAGGAAAGTCTAAGATGCTAAATCTTGATGGTGAAAATATAACAGTAGTAATAAAGTTTTATGCCCCCCTCCCTGCCCCAAATGGAGATAGGTGAGTAAGAATTAGGAAGATGCTGATGATAGCCTAGTGCTGAACCCCAGTATTTGTCCTGGGAGTAATGGAAAGGACGGGAGAAGGGAAATAGCAGCCTGTGACTTGGTGTCATTTGATGCCTTGTTTCTCTTGCACCTCCGATTCTGTCTCTGTACGGTGCCACCTTGGTGGGTGGGAGAGACTTGGTTCTGACTCTAAAGTAGCTGCTCTAAAGTCGCCTCTTTTTTTTTTGCCTTACATGCCTTTTTCTGAAAGGATAGTAGCCCCTAGGATGGAAATGATGGCTCTGTGGGCACCTCGTCTGGGCACCATTTGCAGGGCTGCATATGTCTGTGTGGCCTTCAGGCACCGAACATTGTGCTCCCTGGGATGAGTCCCCACATCTCGGGGGACAGGGTTCCTTGACAGTTGCTCTTGAGGCTGATCTAGGTCGCTGGTCCTCCCTGGGATGCTCTCTGTCTTTGAGGAAGTTACTGGCCAGCTTGTGCATTTTTACTGAGCATGCTCCTCCAGTCATTCTCCCGTGATGTAAAGTGTTGTTCTGGTTTTCACTTACCCTGCTTCTAGAAATTAAATCGAGTTTTATCGTTGTAATCTTTAGCAAGTAGGGACATATCCAGAGTTTACAACTGGAATCTCTTAAGGAGAATGTCAGTGTGTCCTCATTTGACCCCTGATGGGCGGCACTAATGTGGTCTTTGGGTGATGATTGTGAATGGGTGGCTGGGTGGAGTGGCTTTCTGCGGTGGCTGCACATTTAGGAAGTCTTCAGGGGACAGTGATCTTGCTCACCTTGTGTGTATTCCCCCACAGATGAGGGGCAGGATTGTTAGGAGCCTTGCTGCAGGGTGATTCTGATTTTGTCTCCCCCAGCCTCTCCCCACCATCTGTGTCATCACTGAGACAAACAGGAGGGGTGGAGTGCTGTGTACCTTTTGCTGCACTAGTTTGCTTGGCCTGCCATTAACAAAGGACCATGGCCCAGGTGGCTTCAACAACAGAAATTTATTTTTTGGAGGTAATCAGTCTAAGAGCAAAGTGTTAGCAAAGGTGGTTTCTGATAAGGCTTTTTTTCTTGACTTAAAGTCAGGCAGTTTTTTTCTGTCTGCATGTATATCCCTGGTGATTCATATTCTCTCTCTCTCTCTCTCTCTCTCTCTCTCTCTCTCTCTCTCTCTCTCTCTCTCTCTCTTTCTTGATAGGACCCAGAGGCTTGCACATGCTAGGTAGGCACTCTACCACTGAGCTATAGTCCTAGGCCTTTTTTTTCAGAACTCTTAAAGATTTTATTGTGGGACAGGGATATTCCTAAGTTGCCCAGGCTGACCTTGAATTTTTTTTTGCCCTTGAATTTTTTTTTGAGACAGGGTCTTGCTATGTAGTTCAGACTGGCCTTGAACTCACTATGTAGCCTAGGCTGGCCTCAAATTTGCAGCAGTCCTACTGCCTCAGCCTCCCAGGTGTGTGCCACCATGGCTGGCTGACCTTGAAATTATGATCCTCCTGCTTCAGCCTCCTGAGTAGGTTGGAAAACAGGCATGCATGACCATGCCTGATGCTTTCTCTCTCCTTATGACACCAGGCCTTATTTAACCTTATATATCTCCATAAAGGTTCTGTCTCCAAATGCAACCACATTGGAGGTAGGACTTTGTCTTAGTCTGTTTTCTGTTGCTATAAGTAAATGCCAGAGATAGGATGATTTATAAAGAAGAGAGGTTTATTTAGCTCATAGCTCTGCAGGTCCAAGAGCAGTGTTTTCTTAGCTTCTGGTGAGAGCCACATGCTGTGTCAAGTCATGGCAGAGAAGCAGGTGCAAGTGGAAAGAACATGTGTTGGACAGAGGCTGAGGGAAGGCACCAGGCTGGCTTTATACTAGTTTACTGTTCTAGTCACTAACCTGGTACCAGGATACCTAACATTCCTGTGAGTCCTAACTCACTACCTTGGAAAAGCATTTATTCCTCTTAATGGCTGGAATATGTCTCAACACTGTTCTCCTGGGGACTGAGCCTCAGTTTGAGTTTTGGTGGAAGCCACTGCGGGCTTCAACATATGAGTTTGAGGGGAAATGACACAAGTCAGTTGCTAACTCAGGGCATCTCAGGAACAGGGGTCCCAGAGCAATCCAGGCTCGGATTAAGACTTCATCTCAGCATGTGAAGCACATCAGTTTCTCTAGAGCAGAAGCTCAAGTCTTGGAAACCCCGCAATGAGCCTGGCAGGGGAACTCATCAACTCTGACTCTCCAAAGCCTGAAGGTTTCTCCTATCCTATCGAGTGGCTTCCTGCTTTCATTTTCAGTCAGGCCGGTGGCTGCCTGTGCACTGCAGTGGAGCCCCAGCTCACTTAGTTCATCCAGGGAACTTGGGGATAACTGACAAATTCTTTGCTAAGCAACTGTCCCCTCCTGGGTGTCCTGCAGTTGCACAGGCTTTGTCTTGACGCATTTTGAGAACATGTTCTTGTCACTTACTGCCCAAGAGAAGATTGTGTACCCGGACTCATATTATTGCTGTCCCTTTCGGGAAGGCCCTTTGGTACTTAAAATGTAAAGCCTGTTATGAAAAAGTTAATTAGGAAGCAGTAAAGACAGTTTTGAGCAAAACCCCAGAGCCACTCTGTTCCTGCAAGTTGGTGTGTGGTTCCCAGGCTGCGCCCAGGGAGCTGTGCCCAGTAGGAAGTGCAGCGTCTCCTTTGCTGTCAGAGGCAGAGATGGAGGGCCTGCTCAGAAGCAAGGCTGCCATGTCTGCTCCCAGC